GTTTAGGCTAGAGCACAAAGTTTCAAAGGGATATTGATAGATTTTAAAAAAAAACCCAGCAAATTTCTGGCAGATGGAATTTAATGTGGTTAAGTGGGAGATCATCCACCTTAGGCTCAAAGAGAACTGAAGAACAGAGAAATATCTCACCCCAAGAACACTATGACAGTCTAGGTTAAGGAAAAATTTCAGTGACATGGATTGAATATATTTCCATAATAATTTTAGTTATGGAAGCAAGGCAGGTAAACAGAGTTAAGATATACACTAGATATAATATAACTGAACAATATAACAGGCTCAAGGAACTGTATGACATATTTCCAGTCCCTTTGATTTCATAATGTGCAAAACCTTATACCAATAAACTTGATACAATGCTCATGTTACAAAACACATCAGGCATTGACAAATTAATCTGCAAGTAAATCAATTAATTGGGACTGATTAGCTCAGTTGGCTGGACAGCTAGTATATAGAGCAGAGTGATGCCAACAGCATGGGTTCAATTCTTGTGTTGGCTGAAGTCACCATGAAGGTCCTAACTTCTTTGACCTCATCAGTCATTCCTCTCTAGTGAGATAGCAGCCCGACAGTGCCCTAGGGCTATGGCAATTTTACCTTAATCTGTAATTGCACTGCTTCCAAACCGAAGAAATTGCTGACATTCTTACAAGATGATAAAATTCAGAATAATTAGCTTTCAAAATCATGACATACCAGTTATGTCTAAGAGACGCCAAATCTTTCACTGGCTAAAGATGCCATAATTATACCTACTTCAATAAAAATCTCCAAACCAAACTAGTTAACATTCTCATTTGAGAATGCATTAATCTTGGAGTCACAGATGTACAGCAAGGAAACAGACCCTCGAGATGAAATCATCCATGCCGACCAGATATCCTAAATTATTCAAATCCCATTTGCCAGCATTTGGCCCACATCCCTCCAAACCCTTCCCATTCATATACCCAGCCAGATGCATTTTAAAGTGTTACGGTTGTACCAGGCTCCACCATTTCTTCTGGTAGTTCATTCCATACACGCACCATTCTCTGTGTGAAAAGGTTGCCCTTTAGGTCCCTTTTAAATCTTTCCCCTCTTGCCTTAAACCAGTCAGTGATCATAACTCTCAGTTCTAACAGTTATGGAAAAAGATAGGACAAGTCCACAGGTTAAGGTGCTGAACTGGAGCAGGGCCAATTTTGGAGCTATCAGGTGGGATCTAGCTGAAGTCGATTGGATGGGTCTGTTGGAAGGAAAAGGAACAACTGGGGCGGCATGGTGGCTCAGTGGTTAGCACTGCAGGCTCACAGCGCCAGGGACCTGGGTTCGATTCTAGCCTCAGGCGACTGTCTGTGTGGAGTTTGCACATTCTCCCAGTGTCTGCATGGGTTTCCTCCGGGTGCTCCGGTTTCCTCCCACAGTCCAAAGATATGCAGGTTAGGTGGATTGGCCATGCTAAATTGCCTGTAGTGTTCAGGGGTGCGTGGGTTATAAGGGGATGGGTCTGGGTGGGATGCTCCAAGGGTTGGTGTGGACTTGTTGGGCTGAAGGGCCTGTTTCCACACTGTAGAGATTCTATGAACTGGCAAATAGAAGGCTTTTAAAAGTGTGATTTCAAGAGCCCATGGACAGTGTGTCCCTGTTATGGTGAAGGGAAAAATCTGGCAGGTTTTAGGAATCCCTGGTTGACAAGGGATATTGAGGCTCTGGTCAGGAAAAACGCAGCAGCACGTACTGGGTGTAAGCTGTCTGGCTCAAGTGAATACCTAAAAGACTATAAGTTGTATAGGAGCACACACAAAAGGGAAATCAGAACAGCAAAAAGAGGGTATGGGAAGGATCTGGCAGATAAGTTTAAAGATAATCCCAAGAGGTTTTATAGCTATATTAAGAGCAAACGGGTAGCTAGGGAGAGAATAGGTCCCCTTAAAGATCAACATAGTCATCTATGTGTGGAGTCACAGGAGATAGGGAAGGTTTTTAATGAATATTTCTCCTCAGTGTTTACTGAGGATAGAATCATGGATGCTAAGGAAATAAGGGAAACAAGTGGGGATTTTGTAGACTACATATGTATTACCAGAGAGGTGGTGTTTGCAGCCTTAACGCACAAAGATGGATAAATCCCCTGGATCTGATCAAGTCCATCCTCGGACGTTGTGGGAGGCTAGGGAAGAAATTGCAGAGAGAGATTTTTGCTTCATCTTTAGCCATTGGTGAAGTTCCAGAAGACAAGGGTGGCTAATGTTCCATTGTTTAAGAAAGATAGCAAAGACAAGCCAGGGAACTACAGGCCAGTGAGCCTGACATCAGTGGTAGGCAAGTTATTGGAGAGGATACGGAGGGACAGGTTCAACCAACATTTGAATAGTCACGGTCTGATCAGGGATAGTCAGCATGGATTTGTGGCAAATCTTTCAGATTTTTTCTAAGAGGTAACCAAGAGGATGGAGGAGGGTAGGGCAGTGGATGCTGTCTATATGGACTTTAGCAAGGCCTTCGACAAGGTCGCACACGGCAGGCGACTATTGAAGGTTAGGTCACATGGGATCCAGGGAGAGTTAGCTAATTGGATTCAAAAGGAAGCAGAGGGTGATGGTTGAAGATTGTTTCTTGGACTGGAGGCCTGTGACTAGTGATGTGCCACACCACAGGGGTCAGTACTGGGACCGTTGTCATTTACATAAATGATCCGGATGTGAGCGTACAAGGCATGATTAGCAAGCTTGCGGATGATATAAAATCACCGATAGCAAAGAAGGTTATCAAAAATTAGAGGGATCTTGATCAGACGGGAAGGTGGGCTGAGGATCGGCAAATGCAATTCAGTGCAGATAAGTGAGGTATTGCACTTCCTAAGTCCTACCTTGGTTTGACCTTCCATGGTAAACAATAAGGTCTGAGGAGTGTTGTGGAACAGAGGGACCCAGGAGTACAAGTACATAGTTTGTTGAAGGCGGCGTCACAAGTGGACAGAGGGGTGAAGAAGGCATTTAGCATGCTGGCCTTCATCAGTCGAGGAGTATAGCACTCAGTATACGTTATGTTACAGTTGTATAAGTTGTTGATGAGGCCACACTTGGAATATTGTGTACAGCTTTGGTCATCCTGTTATAGGAAAGACATAGCTAAACTGGAAAGTGTGCCAAGAATATTTACGAGGATGTTGCCAGGACTAGTAGGCCCAAGTTATAGGGAGAGCTTGGACAGGATGGGACTTTATTCCTTGGAACGTAGGAAAGTGAGGGGTGACCTTATTGAGGTGTATAAAAATCATGAGGGGCATACATAGGATGAATGCATATAGTCTTTCTCCAACCCTCCTCCCCACACCCCCACACCCAAGGGTGGGGAATTGAAAACTGGAGGGCATAGATTTAAGAAGGAACAGAGGGGCGGCAACTTCACACACAGTGGTGTGTATATGGAATGGGCTGCCAGAGAAAATGGTTAAGGCAGGTACAATAGCAACATTTAAAAAACATTTGGATAGGTACGTGGGTGAGAAGAGTTCAAGAGGGACATGGGCCAAATGCAGGCAATTGGAACTAACTGAGTGGGCACCATAGACCAGTTTGGGCCAAAGGGCCTGTTTCCATGCTGTATTATTCAATGACTATGACTGGTGCCCTCTAGTTTTGGACTCCCCTATCCATATCCGTCATGATTTTAAGCCTAAACAGTCACCCCTCAAGGTTCCAATGCACTAGAGAAAATAGCCCCAGCCTATTCAGACTCTCCCTGCTCAAAACCTCCAACCCTGGCAACATCCTTGTACATCTTTTCTGCATCATGTCAAGTTTAACAACATCCTTCCTATGGGAGAGAGACCAGAACTGAACACAGAATTCCAAAAAAGTGGTCTAACCAATGTCCTGTACAGCAGCAACATGACCCCGCCACACCCAACTCCTCTACTCAAATGTATTGACCAAGCGTACCAAACGCCTTCTTCACTAGCCTACCTTCCTGCAACTCCATGTTCACCTATGAACCTGTTCAGCAACACTCCCAATGACTTTACCATTAAAGTATATAAGTTGTGCCCTGATTTCACCTACCAAAATGTGGCACCTCATTTATCTAGGATTCACTCCATCTGCCCATTGGCCCATGGTCAAGATCCTGTTGTACCTTCTTCACTGTCACTACACCACCAGTTAACTAAACACATCCAATAAAAGAAACAATTAAAACGATGCTCACTGCAAAATTATCTTTCAACATGGACTAACTACTTGGCTCATCATTAGCTCTCGGAAACCCATGGCACTGAAAACACAACGTATAATTCCAATTTCTTGTAGCTGGTTTTGTTGTTGTACCATTGCATTTAACACTAATTGTATAAATAGCTGAGTTAAGTGCACGGTTCAACAACAAAAACAGCTACAGGAAATTAAGATTATATGTTTATTTTTCCAGATTCTAGGCCTTTACGAATGAGTTTCCACACCTGGCCTATTATTGCCCTGAGAACTCAAATTTCTCCAGCTGCCTAAGCTCCACACTCTGGGATGTTTTCCCTAAACCTTTCCTCCTTCACGATGTTCTGTAAAAACCTATCCCTGACCAAGTTTTTGGACATCCGACCGGACAGCTCCTTATGTGGCTTGGTGTCAAAGTTGGTTTCATAACGCTCCTGCGAAGGGGCGTGTCAGGATCTTAAATGGACCATATCGAGAACAAAACGCTGCAGATGCTGGAAGTTTGAAATTAAATAAGGGCAGATAAACACTGTTGTTGCGTTTTTTTAAAGCCAGTTACACAAGTGAAAAGCAGAAGTGGGCCAAACATGGGTTTGGACTGACCGACTCCAGTTCCGTCAAATAAATAAATAATTAATAAACAAACAAACAAACAATCCTGATGCTGGCCTGCCCAGAGGAGCTGGGAGGCTGCTGCCGCCCTTCCCCATGAACCAGTGAGTAAGGGAGGGAGCCCACTCGAGGAGCAGGCCTCCTCTCTCTCCCCTCCCTCACTGCTCTTACCCAGAGACAGCGCCTGTTCACACAGGCCCAGGGCCACCGTGTAATCCCCGCGCTCTGCCAGCTCCGCCGCCTCCTGCTGTAGCCGCCGGGCGCGGCACTCCGACGGGAACCATTTCTCCAACAAGTTACACAGAACCACATTGAGCCCGAGATGTGGTCCGGGCTTGGCCGAGGACGAGGAGGAGGAGGAAGCGGCCGCGGCTCCTGGGTGCACGGTCGGCGACAGCCGGCACAATTTACACCCAGTCACCGTCTCCTCCTTTACACACCTCCGGCAGAAAGTGTGGCCGCACGGCAGCGACACGGGCTCAAAGAGCAGCTCCAGGCAGACTCGGCAACTGAGAGGCTCCGAGGCGGCCTCCTCCTCCCCCTCCTCGGGGCCTCCGTGCCGCAGCCGGCCCGCAGCCTGCGGCAGCGCCTCTTTCAGGCGGACATTGGTGGCGATACAGTCCAGGAGGTCGCCCAGGTCGTCGGGCCGAAGCCGATCCAGGTCCGCGGCGCTGCGGTAGGCCTCGAAGGCCTCGGTGAAGCGGCAGCAGCGGGCCAGAGCATCGGCCTTGCCTAGGTAGAGGGCCCGCTCAGGGCCCAGCTCCAACAGCTGGCACTCGTAGATATCGGCCGCCAGCTCGTAGTTCATCGCCCGGAAAGCCTCGTCGGCCAGTTCCAGCATCTCGGAGCGAGCGGCCGGAGCCTCCATGGAGCCCAGGCTGGGCCGAGCCCACCCACCAGATAGAGGGGGCGGGGGCTAGAACCGGCAGTCGAGGGCCCGAGTGGCGGTGGCGGCGGCTGCAGCCAGGGCTCAATGCCTGCCTATCGGTCGGTCGGTCGGTCTCCGCCCCCTCAGCCAGTCAGTGTGGCCTCCTTCCTCCCGCCTCTCAGGACATTATATAACCCGAGCCAGGCGAGCAGCTGTTGGATAAAACACAGCGGCTGCGGCTTCAACATCACCACATTTACTCATGGGGGGGGGGGTGGCGGAATATGATTAATTTGGACACCGTCCCTTTTATTTCCCACCAAATGTTAGAAGAAACGATCAAATGAGCGATTTCCCTTCCCGGGTAAATGGTTAGAAATACGACTTAAGACCGAATTATTGGAAATGAGAACGACAGCTGCCCTGTCCCATCAGTTTAGCCCCACTCCTCCTTTCAAATCAGCGCAGGAGGTAACCCGTAAAATGAGCCGACAACGAAACAAAATAAAGCCGGATACCTTGCATTTAAAATATCAATCACAAAGCGGGACGCTGCAGATGCCGCGAATCTGAAATAAAAACAGAAAAGCCTTTAAATAGTCAGCAAGTTCAGGCAGGATCTGTTGGAGAGCGAGACAAATGGACTTAAGGGACTGGACTTTCCCATATTTTGCCTTAGTGTGAAATCCGGATCGTCTCATACAAACGGAGAAAATTGCTGGCGAAGCTCAGGAGGACTGGCAGCATCTGTGAATAGAATAACTGAGCGGCCAGACTTGCAGAGTTTCTCCGGAATTTTCTGTTTTTGTTTCAGATTTTCAGCATTCCGCAGCATTTTTGCTTTTATTATCGGAAGTCTCATGGAGGATTTCATTCTGACAACTTTTCTCAAGCAATTCCGCGTCGTTCAGACATTGGGAAAATTATGCCCAACGTTTCAGGTCATGAGAAGTCATCAACCTTGTCCAGGAAACCCAACTCCATGAATATTTCTGCCATGTCCCAAAATGAAAATAGTTGCCTTCTGTATTTTAGAAACAGAAATAGAATGGTTGATCAGTTGGAAATCTTAAGGCCTAGTGGAATGTGGAATTAGCTGTAATTTGCTTTAACTAAAATTGTTAGTTGAATGGAATAAATCGCTAAGCGGTTGTAGTCGCTCATATTAAGCAGTTCAGGAATACAGTTTTGTATGAAACCAGAGATGGGCGGTGCTCACAACCCTACATCATTTGTTTGTCAGGGATGACCACTTGTACAATCAAGTGTCTCTAATTACCTGCACTCAAGTACAAAACTGCAGGATACTTTATCACGTACTACAGGAGTTGGAAAGGTTCCTGGAATGTACATTTGAGGATGTGATCACACAGTCAGCAAAGAACATTACTGAGACAGAAAAATTGGGTTTTGAAGTGGAGAAACAAAAGGGACTCTGATATAACAGCATTTGTATAAACATCTCTTAGAATAGAAGCAAATTGGGTCCTAATATTACTCATTCAAAATGTTAGAAGAATTAGAGTAGAAGAATGGAAGAGCAACAGTATTATTAAAATACCACATCAATGATAGTATTAATGGTCAGAAATATGAATCTGTTTGGTCTGAGTAAACTAATAAGGGAACTATAACTGTACTGGAAATAGATTATAAACTATCACATTCTTGCAATGAGGTAGAAAAAAAATGATACAGGTTAAATTTAAAAAATGTGGAAATAACATGTACCATAATTATCCAGATAGATTGAAGAAAAAAGGAGATAAAAATGACAATTTCTACAATAGTGCATATAATAAAATAGTTACCCAGTTTACTGCTTCAGCTCCTTGGATTATGTGGGCTAGACACTCATTCTGAGCACAGAGCTGGAAAATTGTGGCCATGGGCTCACTTCAGATAAAGTAACATCTCAATAATCTAACTGGATGGTGGAAGCAATGCCTGATAGGGCGAGCACCCACTTGAATCAAGCTCTGTTGTGAAAACCTGTTTATAGTTTGGGATAAAAGTCTGACAGAGAGATGGTTCTGAACGCCATGGATAGTGCCCCTATTTCTGAGCCCGGAAGTTGGGATTCAAGTCCCACCTACTCCATAGGTATATAATAGCATTACTGAACAGGTTGATTAGAACATATCTAAAATTTTGATGGGCCAAGTTCAAGTCCAATCTTTTCAAAATGTGTATTAACATCTATTTTAAGTGCCAAGCCACACCAATGACTGACAAAGAGAGTTTAAGCCTTCCTTTTAACATCCAAATGCATTACTATTTCTCAATCTCCCACCATCAACATCCTGAAGATCACCATTGACCTGAAACACAATAGTCATGGCTACATGAATACAAGAGTGATGAAATAAAGCAAGATATTGAGTATGCTGTAGCAAGTTTTTCACCCCCTGACTGCCCAATTTCTTTCAATTATCTACAAAGCACAAGTCAGTGTGATGTAATACTCTCTACTTTCCTATTGAGTGCTGCTTTAACAACATTCAAAAATGTGACATCATCCAACAAAGTAGTTGCTTGACTGGCACCCAAACAGCAACTTATCATTTGATTCATCCACTGCCAAAGCACCACAGCTTAAATTTATATAATTTCTAGATGCACTGCAACTCACCAAAGTTTCTTCATCGCCATCTGACAAAACTACAATCCCTATTGTCTGGAAGTACAGCTGCACCAACAACTGAAAGCAACGTTCCCTCTAATCTGTGTAGCCACATCGTGGGTCCATGCATATCAAATGGCATAAGGACTCACTGACATCCAATTCCGGATGTCGCTGCTGTGCACAAACCTTGGAGGTCCACATAGTGGCAGGAAATATTAGAAGGGCTTTGTTCTCTTTCAGGACCATGATGATGTGGAATTATATTGCTATTCCTTCATCATTTCATGATAAAAATCTGGAGAGATAATGGCACTGAGCATACTTCACAATACAAAGAATGGCACAAGTTGACACAGAAGTGGAATCAGGTGATGTTACAGAAATAGACATAGGTGATCTTTGTGATGGCCCAGACCTATCATCAGAAATTCATCTTTGGGTCAAGTAGGACACTAGATTTGTAAACAATCTTGTTCAGACTCAAACTTGCCACAGGCAGAAATGGAAATTCCAGCTAGGAATTGGGGTTTGTTGTGATTAAATTGTTCGACTTTGATCATGGACAAAATTTATTTTGGAAGTAACGTCATAAATTTCTATTAATCCAATATTGGATGCCAGACAAGTAGTCTGAGATTTGGGGGTAGTTGAGGAGTTAGAAACATGGAGATGAGACTGAGTTGTATCATTGTACATCTGGAAACTGAGGTGATGTTGCTAAGGGACGGAACTTAGGGGAGAAAATGAAGGGGGCTAACTATAGGTGTTTGAGGAACATCAGAGGTAATGGTGCAAGAGTTGATAAAGAACCCATCGAGGTGTTATCTGGCTGAATAAATAGATAAGGATGGAACCAAGAGGGATCTGTCTTGCACACAATGGTGAAAGTAGAGAGGTTTTGGAAGATGTTGATATGGTTAGCCATGTCAAAGGCTGCAGACAGGTTAAGCTGAATGTAGCTTATCTTAGTCAACATCATTTGGAATGAAATTTCTGACTTTGACTTTGGTACTGTGATAGAAAGAGATTCAAATACAGAGTTTCAGAAAAGATGAGCATGGATTTGAGGCAATAGCACATTCAGGAACTTTGGGGGAGGAAAACAAGGTTAAAGATACACAAGTAGCTTGCAAACATTAAAAGTTGAAATGTTTGACAAAGAGTACACAACAAGTGATTGAGTTTCTGCTGCAATATCTCAGGGAAAAGAGTTCCAGTTCCGGAACTTTTAGATTTTTTATCTGTTTAAAATGGTGATCATTTTCTCTTTTTCCAAAAATATTTTTTCTCTCAGAAGACAATCTTTTGTAATGAGACATGGTCAATGTTGATGCAATAAATATGACCTTCTCGACTAAAGACTGATTTTAAAGGATTCTTCCTAATCAGAAATGCTGCCAAAGAGGATCCTCTGCCAAAACAAATGCCTGGAACAGTCACTGCTGAAGAATTGACTGGCTATGAGCCACTGATAGGAACAAAGTAATCTAACTATTTCTAAGTGTATAATAGTCAGCTGAAGGTGGTATATTATGAAACCAAGACTGAATCTAGAAGTTTAAATTTTTTGGTCAATTGCTAATGGTTCTTTTTGTAACATGAGCAGAGAATATTGAATTCCATGATATCAGAACTGACTCAACGACAGCAAATTTACTTCTGAGTTATAAGATCGTGGATTTACATCCCACTTCAGAGCCCTGAAGAACAAAATTCAGACTGATAGTGATAACAGAATGCTCCATTTCATAAGTACCATCCTTCCAATGAAACAAAACCCTTAGACCAGTCTGCCTTCTTGGGTAGAATTAAAAGATTCAATAGCACTTTTTTGAAGTGCAGAGGAATGGCATTTTCCTTCAGTGAACACCACATTACGTGATGATCTATTTTATTGCTGTTGGTAGGACTTGTGCGCAAATGAGCTAATCTGTTCCTTAAACTACAACAATGACTACATTTCATTACATGTGGAATGCTTTGAGGTGTTTTAGGGATGTGAAAGGTGATAATAATAAATGCAAGATTGTTCTTTTATGTTTAATAAAATTACATGGAAACTCAGCAAAACTTTTGACACTATGAATAGAACACTTACAAGATTCAATGGAATAGAAAGCACACAAACATTATTGAAGGAAAGAGAAAACTTGGAATATTACACCTCAATCATCATATTTTTGTTTAGAAATATGTATAATTTTACCTTATTTGCATGACTATATAATTACAATGAATGGAAATGTCAATAGAATAATTTTATCACACATAATGTTCAAACAAATTTCATTGAGCTTTGTTTCAGAGCTGTCAACCAATCCAACCCATTATTTACAATGAATTTGTATGGTGGTGCCATTTGGAGTTTGGAACAGGATTTCTAAACAGTTCTACTTACGCAATGAAATTCCAAGAAATTTTTAATGCGTACAAGGATCATTAGTAGTAGTCACTAGGGACTTGTTTATGTCAAAACATACTATTATAGTCCAGCTAAATTGCCCATTTCCGTGTTGTAACTTCATATGAAAAGAACTGAATAAAAGCAAGAATTATAGCCAACAGCTACCTAAGGTGAAAACAAACATCAATATTTTAAGATGTTTTACACAGCTGGAAACTGGAGACAAATGGAATGGAACAAACAATATAGAAGTAGGGAAGATAATGAGTTGAATATTTATGCAGGGTTTTTGGAAGACTGTTTACAAGTGAAAGCTGGCAAAGGATAGATGTAGGTCAAGAGAAACAGTGAAAGCGCATTAAAGGTTAAAAAAATACCATGAGACGCAAGCATGACAATAAAATACAAAGGCAAAATGAAAGTAATGGATCAATACAATTCCAAATGAAAGAAATCTTAACCTGAAAACAGAAAATTCTCCAGCCAGACAACAAAAAAAATGCCAAAACCATTCTGTGCTCCCAACCATACCACCACATTCCCAACCTATAAGAAAATAAGAGATATTGAAGCAGGTGAAGTTGTTAAAGTCAATGGTTTGACCAGAGGACTGCAGGGCACCCAGGAGATCTAATTGTATACTTGCGCATTGTTTTTGGCTTGAACAATACAGGAAGTTGAAGACAGATTTCAAAATGGGAAATGAAGATGACACAAGAATTGGAAGAATTCTAAACTATAAAAAGGATAATATAGAGTACCAACTAATAGAATACTGTGCCATTGGCTTTGTTAGGATGTGCATAGATTTAAAGAACAAGACTAAGTTAAGGATAATCCCAAGAGATTCCACAAGCATATTAAGAGCAAAAGAGCAATTAGGGAGAGAATAGGCCCCCTTAAAGATCAATCACGTCATCTATATGTGGAACCACAGGCGATGGGAGAGATACCAAATGAGTATTTCACATCAGCATTTACTATGGAGAAAGACATGGAGGCTAGGGAGCTTGGGGAAGTAAATATTGATGTCTTGAAAACAGCATGTTGAGGCCAGCATCCCCTATTCACTCTCAATTACAAGTGCAGCTTAACAGTTTGATCTTTCTAGCAGATCATGTTGTTTAGTACAAGTTAAAGTTACAACTAATGGAAGCCTTCACAACATCTGCTGCCCCTTATTCAATCCTGACAAAGTTTCATGTTAGTGGTGGCACTAGGAATGGATAGCTATGATTCAAACATGGTTAGAACATCGTGTAGCACGATGGAAGGCTACCCTCTACCTCCACTCTTGTGACTGCAGTTAAAATAACATTCACTCAAAAGCTGATGATGAAAACTGAACATAAATTTATGCATTACCCATGCCACTAATGTGCCCTCTGAACATTTTTTCTCTCTCTTCCATTGTGTCTGTGTACAGTCCTGAGGTCTCTAGTAGGGGTGGAGGAAAGCCTGCCCTACATTGGAGTTTTGGACAGGAATCCCTGGGGCTACTTGTGGCTGGAGAGTCTAAGCATCCTATAAGCTTATAAAATATAGCAGATGTAAGCCATTCAGCCTACTACATCTGCTTTACCATTCAAAGAGAACATGGCTGATCTGATAGTCCTCAAGTCCACTTTCCTGCCTTTTCCCCATAACCTTTGACTCCCTTACTGCTTAAAAATGTCTATCTCAGCCTTGAACATACTTAACAACCTCAGCCTCCACAGCCTTCTGTGGTAAAGAATTCCATAGATTCACAAGCCACTGTGAGATGAAATCCTGCCTCAAATCTGTCCGAATTGAGCACCCCTTACTCTGAGATTATGCCCTCTGGTCCTAGACTCTCCCACGAGGGGCAACAACCTGTCAGCATCTACTCTGTCAAGTCCTCTATGAATCTTACATGTTTCAACGAGGTCTCCTCTCATTCTTCTAAACTTCATTGAGTAGAAGCCCAAGTTACTTAACTTCTCCTCATAAGAAAATCCCTCTATACCTAGGATCAACCTAATGATTTCTTCTCTTGCTTGCTTGAGTATGTCCTGCCCAGAAGCAGGTTCAGCCTCCTTGGCTTGAACTTGCACAGGATTAACCATGGCAGTCAAGGTGACAATGGAGGGTCTGGGCACCTCTGCATTGTCCTGAGACAAAAGTTCTCTGGCTAGGTACCTACTGGCAGCATCTTGTCTCCTTGAGAGGAAGGGGCATTTGCAGTAATGTCAAGGTTACTTACACCCCTGTCATTTGACTGATCGCTGTGCATCCATGGCTGGAGTGATAGAGTGCATATATCCATCTCACACCAAGTGTGCTGAATCTGGGTCTCCATGCAGCTGCCAAACTGTACATAGAGGCAGCCTGAAGCTCACCTATCTGTGGTAGCAAAGCACAACAGCATTGGCGGATTCCTTCAATATTTGAGTCAGTTTCCCAAATGTGTCCAACAAACCTGCCTGTTGCACCTGTGTCTGCTTGTAGATTTGAATGAAGGTCTTAATGGCTGACACCACATGGTCCTCTCCTGTCTGGAGTTGAGCAGGTGCCTGACAGTCCTCTGAGTACCAGCTATCTAGGTATTTTGTTCTCAACCAGCTGCAGAGACGTGGCGGTAGTGTGCTCATCAGATTGTGCTCCCAACTGTACTCCAGCTAAAGTACCCACCAACGGGTCAGCAAGCTGGTGGAGGACCCTGAAGATAGCCTTGCCAGTGCTTCCTCTGAGAGATCTGTGGCTTTCTCAGAGTTTGAGGAGGAGATAATGTCCTGAGGGAATGGCCCCTACAGGGCAGTGACTGCATTGATGCCATGGGTGCTGGTAGGAGACAAGAGAAAGAATGAGTTATGAATAAAGTGTCAATGTTTGGGTAGGTTAAAATTACATGCATGATGGCAGTAATGGGAGTGCAGCACAACACTTGACAATGGACCTTACTTGGTTACTGGGACATGTAGGTCTTAGCATCACCATGAGTGGTCATGGTCCTCTCCATTTACAGCAAGGATTTCTTCTCATAAGGAGATGAATGTCAGGCACACTGTTATCTGTCTTGGCTCCTAGAATAAAACAATGGGAGGGATTTGAGTAAGATGCAAGTGCCTGTCATTGCTTTTAATGCTGGCGCAGATGGTATAAATATTGTGCAAAGTGAGTGAGCAGGCAGTGCAGAAGGCAAACAGGACTAGTTGCATGGAGAACAGGTGGTGGGGTGAGAGAGGAATTGAGGGAACATGCTGCATTCATTACAGTACATGAGAATGGTACAGCATTAGCCTTGCTGGGAGGTGGTTGCAACATGGAGTTAGAAGGAGTGTGAATTAGCAGAGTGAAGATGGTAGCACCTACCTTTGCGGAGTACAGAAGATCATCAAATTGGATCATCGATATTGCACTGACTCAGATAGCAACTTCAGACTAGACTGGCAAGGTTTGATGCTGTGATCTGCTCTGGCAGTACAGAGGAAGGAGAACAGCCCTTCTTTCCATCACCTTGTCCACCATCTTGTCCAGGTCTCCGTCAGCAAATCAGGGTGTCAACTTGCCTCTGCTGACATTCTCTAGAGCAATTCTTCCAATACTGCAACCGTGAGGAGCAGTTCCCAGCTGGAAGCAATTGACCTGATGCACACCTGGGGTTTACATATGAAGTGGTGTCAGGAATCGTGGAAGGTCTCAACAATGGTGATTTCTTCTGCTGCTGACGAGCACAAGATAGCATGTGAGTGGCACCACAGTGATGAGGTAAAATTGAGTGAGAAAACTCGCTAGGCCTCACAGAGAGAAGCCCACTAACTCGCTGAAATTGCCACTTAGCCAACTTTTTGCATATGTGTATTTGGGGAGTTTGTTGTGTTTACATTTTAGTTGTGTAAAATACACTTTCATATCTTTTGATTTAAACACATAAAAACCCTATCTTGTGTCTGTTTGTTAAAATCCTCATACTCAAGGGGTTAAAACAATTCTCAAAAACATCTTGGTCAACCCAGTAGTGAGAAAAGGGAAAAATTATCCAACATTTATCCCCATCCAAAGCAGAAGAAAGCGTTCTCGGAGCATTGCTTGTGAGTTGATGGTTAAACTTTTTTATTCATTCATGGATGAAGGTGGCATTTATTGCCTGTAACTAACTGCCAACTTGGCAGTTAAGAGTCAACCACATTGCTGTGGTTCTGGAGTCACATACAGGCCAGACCAAGTAAGGATGGCAGCCTCTTTCCCTAAAGGACATTAGTGAACCAGATAATAGGCAATTTCCTGACAATGGCAATGGATTCACAGTCATCACTAGACTTTTAATTCCAGAATGTTTATTCCACCATCTGCCATGGCAGGATTCAAACCCGAGCCCCCAGAACATTACCTGGACAGAATATTGACAACAGAGATTTTGAATTAGTTGAACTGTTCAGAGAATGGAGGATTGGATGTTAACCAGATACCCACTGTTATAGTCAAGTCTGGAGATGGCATAGGAATGGATAAGCATTTCAGCTGCAGACAGGTATAGATTGAGATGAAAGTAGGCTGTTTTCACCACTGAAATAGTACACTTACATAATACAACATTTCTCTATAGATACAAAAATAATACATTTTGGGAAGAAAAAGTCCTAACAACCAAGAGGTTAAAACATTTCCGTATGTATTTTGTGAACTAGTTTAAAAATATTCATGAAGGACAAATGCTTACGTGAATATTGCTTATTGAGACAAATTTGGTCAAAAGTTTTTGTCTTGCACTTGTCAGGACAATTTGCAACGGTACCAATACAAGGAGGGGGAACCCCATATCATTGCATACAACACGAACGTGTACTGCAATTATTTCTACTCAATAAAATAGGTGACAGCCACTTACTGGTTCATTTCTCAACGTTTGATCAACCAGAGTCAACCTGCCTTGTTTAGAACAAAGCCTGGCAATTAACCTTCAATCATTATAATTGGTGCATTCTCCATGGCTACTCCTCTACTGATCAGAGTCCACTTGGTAATCAATCAACACTCTTCTTTTATGCAGTGCAAATATTTATTTACCCCCTTGGATTGGTATTCTTGTGAGATACACAGATAAGTGCATGACAAAAAACTTTGACAAAATGTGTCTTTTCTTCAGCGATATCCAACTTCTGTACTACCAAATGACTATTTGCTTTTAGACATGGTCCTTGCATTAGGAGCACACTAGAATATCAGAATCATGATGCATGGAAGCTCAAATGCATGTTCTTCAAAGTAGTTAATATAATAAAATCTGTTTTTTGTGATATTACTTTTTAATGTTACATAATGCGTTTATCAGTTGGTTGACATAAACGTTTATAAATAACCGTTGCGGGTAGCTTAATTTATCAGTTGGATGCGTGATGCATGTCTTTCAAGGTTCACCATCTTTCCAAATTTTTTACTGTATTATTCAGCAATTTCCATCAAACCCTAGTCATTGCAGTGGTGAGCTCTCCACCCCAAAAGGAAGAAAGTAAAACTACTGCTCATTCAAGTCATCTGTTTGCCAGGAAGGAATTGAAATTAAGTATACCAAAAGTACCAATATAACCTAGATAATTAATAAAACTGAAAAATAGACACCCCTAAAAATGGATACTGTAACTTTAAATGAGCAGATTTTATTGTCTATTGTATTAAAAGACTTTTCCAATGTTTACACCTAGATTCAACTAAATCAAATAAATCACAGGAAAATTACTTTGCCTGTACTACGGCTGTTATGTGTGTGACAGCAACAATTCAACTTAGTTCTGTAGGAGCACCTGGGGTCAAAAGACATTTACAGTATTACTTTCCAAATCATATGCTGTTTAGCAATTGCCTTCTACCATACTTGTCCTTGGAAATATTTTCACTACACTATTTTGAATGCCTGAAATATTCTTTTGTTGAGTTCCGTGCATTAAACTACTGCTGATCTACTTCTAAAATGCCCAAGATATTGTTATTCTTGTGTTCATTTATTACTGCATACATGCATGTATTAAGCTATTGTTTCAAGCTTTCTTTCACTCCACGTGCCTTCACTGACCTCTGCTGGTGATAGCATTAAAATGTCCAGTGTTTAACAGAAAATCCCAAAGAGAAATGTAAATATTCATTGTACCCCGAATATGCCGTGTACTTGGCTAAGTTAGTTTAACAAAAACTCTGGTTCATCGTAACCAAACAGTTTGAAATCTCCTTGGAAACGAGCATGAAGGCGTTTTATTTCTCGTTTGCCGATTCCGGAAAAATACTGCTCAACCTTGGTTCTGTTGTATGCTGTAATACCTGGTGGAATTGGGGGATAGGATACCAAGTTACTCATTCCTGCTTTCTTTAAAATGTACGGAGCATCCTTTTCCAGTGTTTCATGATGTCCTATGATATTATACTTGATTTCACAAGGTGCACAAAGCTCTACATATGTAGCCCAGTGAATAATGGGTTCTCCTATTTTAACATCAAGCCACTTATGGTTAGGATCACCTAAATAGCGAATAAAATCATCAAATTGTAGTCCTTTAGTCTCAGTGCGATTTCTTCTATACTTCTGAATAATAGCTGGTGCAATGTTATGTCTGTACCATGGTTCAAATCGAGGATTCTTTAGAAATTTGTCTTTGAATGCAGAAATAAGTCTTTCAAAGGGATCTCTAACAATGAAGAATTTGAAGTATGTCTTCAATCTGAAAGAAATCAAAAATGAAAGACCATGATCATGTTAGTGTGATTTGGTACTCATTTGAAAATGTTCTAAGAAAAAAATGAACATCAAAACTGAGTGATCCAGTAAGCAAAGTATTGTATTTATGTTCAATAAATAAAACTCAAATAGATAACGTAATCAGAATAAACTTTGTGTGGAAACATTATCAAATTAAATTTATTTCAACCTTTTTGTTATTTCTGGTTCACTGTATGATGACAAACGAGGTAGGCCATTCCTCTCATGATTATGGATCAAAGGTTCAGGAATGTCTTTAATTGATTTAAATTCTCCTGTAAAATAAAAAGATGTTAAGTACAGTACTTACATGTTCCAAAATCAAGTACTTCAGACAGAAATAGACCATTAGGTCCAATAGGTCCACATCTGTGTTTATTCTTCACCAAGGCCTCCTCCACCCTTATTTATTTATTTAATGCCATCAACACATCTTGCTTTCTGCCTCATGTGTTTATCTATCCACCCCTTAAATGCATCTTTGCTATTTACCTCAAGTGCTCCTACAGAACTAAGTTGTAAAGTAAGGCAAGGACATGGAGGGATTCAGAAATAAATTTGTTGTATCGGTTTACAGAATGCCAATGGAGGTAAATAGAAACAGTAACGATGCATAAATAGGACTTAGCGTAGAACAAAATTTGGGGATTTTAATATTGGATTAGCTAGATGTAATAAAGAGTGCCGATGAGCATTATAAATGACTGATCTCCACAGTCATTAGGGAAGGTGTGAAAGTAGAGGTGGATGATCATATTAATTTTGCCATGGTCACATGGATTTGAGCCACATGCAATTAAACCTTGAGCACCACCTTTTATGTTCCAGTTGACTGCGCTATGTTTTAGTGCTATTCATCCAGAAGGATGACATGAGCTAGAAAAAAGCCCTAGCCAACTCTTTTTGATGTGTACAGTGCAAGGCTATGAATAACACTCAGCACCAGTCGATGCCCATTGTGAGAAACAGGTTTGGTCAAACTTTGACTGGAGCTCCCATAGTTAACTCTGAGTAGCACAGGTTGGATGTGAAGGCATGGAACTGTTGACAGATAAAACAGGGTAGTAACTAATAAAAGCAGTTTTAGAATCGCCAACTGTATTTAAAAGGTTGATAAACCGCCAGGACTGGAGAGGATACTGTGAAAAGTAAGAGAAGAAATAATAAGGCACTGGCCATAATTTTATAATTCTCTTTAGATAATGAGGTGGAGGTGTTGATGTTGGACTGGGGTGGACAAGGTCAGAAATCACACAACTCCGGGTTATGGTCTTTATCTTTAGATAATGTAATATGGAACTGTAAATTCTACTAAAGGACACTTGTCCAAAGAAAAGTGCAAGGATAAAACAGCAACTGCTTGCCAGTTAATTTAACTCAGCAATGGGAAAGCTTTAAAAAATAATATAGGACAAAATTGATATTCACTTGAACTAATGTGGATTCATTAAGACAACATGGCTAAGAGTAAATAGTGTTTCACTAACTTGATTGAGATTTTTAATGAGGTCATAGTAATAACAATTATAACTTGATGAGAGTAATGCAGTTGATGGTATATACATGAACTTCCAAAAGGCGTTTCATACAGTGCCACATAATAGCTTGCAAACAAATCTGAAGCCCATGCAATTAAAGTGACAGCATGGATCCAAACTTGGCTGATTGACAGGAAATGTACAGTAATGGTGAATGATTGCTTCTCACGTTGGAGGAAGCTATCCTGTGGAGGTCCTCATGGGCCTATACCAGGACCACTGCTGTTCTTGATCTCTATCAAGGACAGAGACTTGGATGCAAAGGGCACAATTTCATAATTTCCAGATTACACAAAACTTTGAAAATGTGTGGGCTGCAAGATTGGTACTGACAGACTTCAAGAGGACACAGCTAAACTAGTAGAATTGGTAGGCACGTTGCAAATTAAAATTAATACAAAGTGTGAAATTCTTCAAAATAAAATTTTGGAAATTCTATATGGCAAATGGTTTCAAATACTGTAAAATGTACCTCGTAAATATGTTATCCTGCACTTTACATTATCCATCAGATAGCTTCATAAGTAGGAAGAAAACAGCTAAGTGACATACTCAGCAACATAACACTTTTACCACAAACAAAAACAAATTGCTGGAAAATCCCAACAGGTCTGGCAGCATCTTTGGACAGAAATCAGAGTTAACATTTTGGGTCCAGTGATCCTTCTTCACAACAGAACAGCAGTTTTACCATCCAAATGAATCTCTTGAACAATGTTAGGAGTGTAAGGGCATTCTTAAGAGAGATCAGGAAGGCAAAGAGAGGGTATGAGTTAGCCTTGGCAACTAAGGTTAAGGATAATCCAAAGAGATTCTACAAGTACATTAAAAGCAAGAGAACAACTAGAGAGAGGGTAGGGTCTGTTAAAGATCAATGAGGTCATTTTTGTGTTGAACCTCAGGAGATGGAAAAGTTATTAAATGAATATTTCACATCAGTTTTTACTGTGGAGAAAGAAGTGGAGGCTAGAGAATTTGGAGAAATAAATATTGATGTTTTGAAAAGAGTTCACACTACAGAAGCAGAAGTGCCAGAGGTCTTAGAAAATATAAAGGTGGATAAATCTCTGGGACCTGATCTAGTGTATCCCAGGACTTTGTGGGAAGTTAGAGACAAAATAACAGGTCCCCTTGCAGAAATGTTTATATCATCTATAAATACGGGTGAGGTGCCAAATGACTGGAGAGTGGCTAATGTTGTGCTTGTGTTTAAGAAGGGATGTAAGGAGAAGCCAGGGAACTATTGACCAGAGTCTGACTTCGGTGGGGGACAAGTTGTTGGACGTGATTTTGAAAGATAGGATTTATATGCATTTGGAGAGGCAACGAATGATTAGGGACAGCCAGCATGGTTTTGTGCCAGGGAAATCGTGTCTCACAAAACTGATTGAGTTTTTCGAGGAACATTGATGAGAGGAGAGCAGTAGCCATTGTTTACTTGGACTTTAGTAAAGCCTTTGACAAGGATCTGCATGGTAGACTACTTAGTAAAGTTAGATCACATAGGATTCAGGATGAGCTTGCCAACTGGATACCAAATTGGCTTAACAGCAGGAAACAGAGTGTTTCTGATGAAGGGTCTAGACCCGAAACGTCAGCCTTCCTGCTCCTATGATGCTGCTTGGCCTGCTGTGTTCATCCAGCTCTACACCTTGTTGTCTCAGATTCTCCAGCATCTGCAGTTCCTACTACCTGTGATGGTGGAGGGTTGTTTTTCAGGCTGGAAGCCTGTGACCAGCAGTGTTCCACAGGGATCAGTGCTGGGTCCACTTTTGTTTCTCATTTACATAAATGATTTTGATGAGAATATAAAAAGCATGGTTAGTAAATTTGTGGATGACACCAAGATTGGTGGCACAGTAGACAGTGAAGAAGGTTATTTAAGATTACAAAGAAATCTCTTGATCAAATGGGGTCAATGGACTGAAGAATGGCAGATGGAGTTTAATTTGGATTAATACAAGACTTTGCTTTTGTTTGTTTCACCAAAATGCAAGATTTATTCAGTTAAAAGTAAGGCCTTGGATAGTGTTAAAGAACAGAGAGACCTAGGGGTTCAGGTATGTAATTCTTTGAGGTTTGCATCACATATAGATCGGATGGTCAAGAAGGTGTTTAATATGTTTGCTTTGTTAGCCTTTGAGTATAGAGGCTCGGATGTTATGTTGAGGTTGTACACGACGTTGGTGAGGCCTCTTCTAGAGTACTGTGTCTAGTTCTGGTCTCTCTTTATAGGAAGGATATTACTCAATTGGAGAGGGTTCAGAAAAGAGTTACCACGATATTGCCAGGAATGGAGGGTTTGAGTTATAAGGAAAGGCTGGATAGGCTGGGGATTTTTTGTTGGAACGTAGGTGGCCTTTTAGAGGTTTATAAAATAATAGATAAGGTGAATGGCAGGTGTCTTTTCCCTAGGTTGAGGGATTTCAAAACTTGGGGACATATTTTTAAGGTGAGAGGGGAAAGATTTAAAAAAGACATGAGGGACATTTTTTTTATACAGAGGGTGGTTTGCTGTGTGGAATGAACTTCCAGAGGAAGTGGTAGATGTGGGTACAGTTGCAACGTTTAAAAGGTATTTAGATAAGTACATGAATAAGAAATGGTTGGAGGGATATGGGCCAAGCGCAGGCAGGTGGGACAAGTTTAGTTTGGGATTATGGTTGGCATGGACTGGTTGGACCAAAGGGTCTGTTTCTCTGCAGTTGGTCTCTATTAACATTTTCGTTGCAAGGACAAAGAGACACAAAAAAAAATCCTCAAAAGGGTGCAGAAACAGATACCTGGTGGTACACGGACACAAATTGTTTAAGGTGACAGAGCAGGTTGAGAATGTACTTAATGAAGTATAACAAATCCTGGGCTTTACAACTGAATACAAAAGCAAGGAAGTTATGATGAAACAATTTTGTCTCAACAGGAATATTGTGTATAAAGTCTGGTTAAAATGGTTTTGGGGATAATGAAGGCTTATACAATGTGCGAAGCAGATTAATGAAATTCGTGTTCTAGGAGTGAGGGACATCCATAGCATGGGAATATTGGGGATTGTTCTCCTTGCAGAAGAGAAACTTGAGGAGAGATTTTAATGGGCCAGTCAAACTCTTAATA